GCGGTATCCTAAGATCTGCTTGAAATTTCCCCGGTACGCGGAACACACGAATCATTTTTAAACAGGAAGCGCGGTAATCCTATCATTTTCGTCCTTCGTCATCAATTTCCATTCTCACTGGCTGGCTAAGAAAATCCACGTTACCAGCATCTATAACTGATTTATTCGACGAGTCACGGAATATTTTCATCCGCCCTGTTCGTATAATAATTACAATAATCGCGCTACGTTTACAAAATCATATTAACCGAATACGATAACACGTGGATCCCTGTGTGCAACCAAAAAAATGCAGAACACACGGATACCCGTGTCTTCTCATCTTACACGCCGCGAAATGCATAAACAAGCGAGCATCTTATCGAAAATAAAATTATTTGCGTCTCCGCTTTAAACGATAACTTCGAATGTTCTTTTCTTCAGGATTGAAAATTAATGAGCTCCGTAGCGCTAGGAATTCGATGAGATAATAGACAGTTACGTGAATTTTCAAGCTGTTGCATCAACGTGATCCAGAGAATGTCGTCGTGAATCAGGCTTCGTTGTAACCGGGTACGAAGAACGCGATGAAATAATAATTTTTGCAAAAACGAACAAGGGTTTTCCTGTACGCGTTGATGTATCGTTTACGTTCGCCGACGAAACGAACTATTCCTCGAGCACATTGCCCATCGACTAATTTATGAAGATTAATATTTGCAGAAAGACCCGCGCTCCAATTACGGCGCATTTCTCAAAGCGGGCAGAAATTACTTTACCGAGGTCGATAATCACGCAATTCACTCTGCGTCGTGCCGTCGCATTGTCGGCACGATTTGCTATACTTTATTCGTCTGCTCCTAGGTACGTTAGGCATCGGGATCGTTTGCGCTTTCAATTACGTTCCTATTTTAACGATCCGACAGCGGAGCTCGGGTACATTTGCATCTAGAGGGTTCAAGATATATCGTCGTTTGACTATTTAGTTATCTTCTTCTTTAAGGTCCATAGAGAAATTACAGTATCCGGACGAAGTACAGTAAATTCTCTTCAATAGTCCCTCAGCTTTTAAACAAAAATGGACAATTTGGGAAGNTAACTTCGAATGTTCTTTTCTTCAGGATTGAAAATTAATGAGCTCCGTAGCGCTAGGAATTCGATGAGATAATAGACAGTTACGTGAATTTTCAAGCTGTTGCATCAACGTGATCCAGAGAATGTCGTCGTGAATCAGGCTTCGTTGTAACCGGGTACGAAGAACGCGATGAAATAATAATTTTTGCAAAAACGAACAAGGGTTTTCCTGTACGCGTTGATGTATCGTTTACGTTCGCCGACGAAACGAACTATTCCTCGAGCACATTGCCCATCGACTAATTTATGAAGATTAATATTTGCAGAAAGACCCGCGCTCCAATTACGGCGCATTTCTCAAAGCGGGCAGAAATTACTTTACCGAGGTCGATAATCACGCAATTCACTCTGCGTCGTGCCGTCGCATTGTCGGCACGATTTGCTATACTTTATTCGTCTGCTCCTAGGTACGTTAGGCATCGGGATCGTTTGCGCTTTCAATTACGTTCCTATTTTAACGATCCGACAGCGGAGCTCGGGTACATTTGCATCTAGAGGGTTCAAGATATATCGTCGTTTGACTATTTAGTTATCTTCTTCTTTAAGGTCCATAGAGAAATTACAGTATCCGGACGAAGTACAGTAAATTCTCTTCAATAGTCCCTCAGCTTTTAAACAAAAATGGACAATTTGGGAAGAGGAGATACGATTATTCGAGCCTCGCTGCTCGTTTTTATAGTTGTTGATAATGGGCGGCTGTGGAAACGAACCATGAGCCTGGAATAATCGCATCTCCTCTTCCCAAATTGTCCACTTTTGTTTACAATCCGAGAAATAATTGGAGAGAATTTACTATACTATTAGATGGAGGCAATTTTCGATGACCGAGCTGTGTGTAAACAAAGGTCGATACTTTGTTTTAACACTAAACACACTGAGTAAAAATATCAGGTTTCACATTTTTTCTTTCGAAGTTGTTGAAATTATAATAAATCATAATAAATTATAATATCATAATCCATTATGATAAAAATAGTGAAAAGACTAAATAAGTCTTGTCATAGTTATGAAGCAACGGATGTCAGTCATTTTTAGCGCTCTGTAGCTTCAGTGTTAAATAACAATTTCAGAAGTTGTTGCATCATAATAATCGAAACGATGTGTTGAATCATTAATAAAATTGCCGTCGCTTTTGAACAATATTTGAAGAAAGTCTCATCTGTTGATACTTGTTGTGAAATTGCTATTAGAAACATGTCGAATAAAATTGATAAATAAAATCGTAAACGATCTCCTGAGCACACTGAGATGTATTTCTGTCGAAAAGATCCACATCGTTCGAGTGTTAATTTGCAAAGTTTCCTACGCCCGATCCTACGAATGTGCTCTAGAAATCTTAAATCAATCGTCGTTTGTTCGATCCGCAACAAAAGACGAGCATTAGAAAAGCTTTCGTATCTTTCTAGGTGGCGTCTCCCTATCGGTGCTTTATCTTTGATCTCGCAGTACTTGTAATTGCACATCGAGGCCACGCTGCAAATCATTATTAGAGCTTCATGTGTCAGGTCGGCTGAAAAGTTCATGTCGGCACGATGCGCAGCGCCACAAACACTTTCTGCGCGTGATTCCACTGTGTTCTTTCGATTTCAACGAACGTTGTCCTTGTCGAGCTTTACATATTTCAATTATCGTAATCGCTTTTTCCTTTTGTCCAATCTCTTGCGTTACAATCATGCCAGGCTCGTTACGAACTTGATCTGTTGAATCTGGACGTTATGTATTTCTAAATTGAAATAACATCCGATTCTGAAATTAGCAATGTTTGAAGATTAAAGGTTGGCATATCTTCTTTCTCGTATAAGAATTTATTATCGTCAACGTAAGTCACTTCTTCGTCTTACCGATGTTCTTTACTCCAGTTTTTTTTTAGAGTAAACTGTTCAAGTTGCTTCTATTTGCACGTGAACATAATGCGACTCATGGTTGCTGATGATGTTCTTTCACTTGAAGAAATGTGTAAAACAATTTTGGAAGTTCGTGTGTTTTCGCATTCTAAAAAATTAGTGTAGCAGAGATACAATATTTGAATTGTATAATTGGCCACTTCAATGATAATACAATATTTCTCTCGTAGAACGCTTATGCGCGTGTTTATGCGAACAAGGTTTCCGAAAGGTCGATTTATCATGTTTCGATTCATTCGCCGAGATAGAGAATCGTTTACATGTGTGTTTACATCAGTATAGTTTTGAAATTAGAGCGTCTGCTATTTAACTGTTACGCACTGTTCAACTGCAACATCATTATCTCTCAAGTTGTAAATATTTCTACCTCGATTACGCACAAATCGATAACATTGAACTCATTTATACATTTCCGTAACATCACACGCGACGAACGCTAAAAGCGTCGACCACTAACAGTAACTACATCGTAATGTCTCATGGAAATTACAAGATTATTTATTCAGTGTTTCCCCATTTTTTTGTCCGACTATAAATATGCACGAATAAATCAGTTTGTTTCAGTAATTAAAAAAGATGAATACGTAATCGCGTCGCTTAGACCAGAGCTGCGAGACTTCGAATTTTCACATTCGTCGTGCTTCGAAATGATCGAAAACGTCAAAACCCAAATTCGAAACGAACGTCTAAATTGCTGGAAAGTCCGCGATTCGAATGTCATTTCATAGTTCGCCGTGCTCCCTAATTATTGATGATTTCAAAATCTGATTTTTAGATTCGCGAAACCCGGGAACGCTCATTCTTTTCCTTCTCCTCTGAGAAGCATTTGTCTCGCCAGGAACTAAAATCTTGACATATTCTTTTCAGAAAATCAAATTATTTCCGAATATAATTACATGAAAATTAAATGTAATTATATATCATTTAATGTTTCCTCGATGTAACCGATTGAAAAAGATTGGTGAAATCGTACCAATTAAGACGTGCCTAAAGTCTAAACACAAACTCATTTTAATTATTACTAGTTAAATAGTAATAAATTCATGTCGTCAGAATGTTCCAGTAAGTTGATTATACAAATCATCATTTTATACCTAGCTTTCGAGAGTTTTCAATCACAAAGATTGCACAATGTTTCAAGTTTCGACAGTCCCATCTCTAAATTAAAATGAAGAAATACTGTTTGAAGAATGTTTGAAGAATCGCTAGAAAGTGCGCAAGTCGAAGGTCACTTTATAGCACCTCGTGCTCCGAAATGATTGAGAACATTGAAACCAAGAAATACGTGTTGAAATTGTTTACGATCTTTCTTCCAGAAAATCAGTTCGTAGCAAAAGAAAAAACAAGTTCAAAGAATCGCTGCAAAGTCTACAATTCGAAGGTCATTTCATGGTTCGTCTATCAGCTCCCTGTATGAAAGCTAGTTTGTAGTAATCACCATGTTCGAAGAATCGTCGCAGAACCCACAATTCGAAAGCCACGAAATTTATCAATTGCAATCCGTATAAAGTATTTTGCAGCTTCTGCTCGTGCTCGATCGGTCATTGGATAGTTCGTCGTGCTCCGAAATTATCGGCGCTGTCGAAACCGAATTCGAAACACGCGTTCTCTACGATCTTTCTACTGGAAAATTAGCTTGTGGCAAGCAACGTGTTCAAAGAATCGCTGGAAAGTCGGCAATTCGAAGGTCGCTTGATAGTCCGTCGTGCTCCAGAACGCGAGCCCGACCAAATTCGAGCACCGTTCTCGCGCACGGTCCTAATTTCCACCCGGCAGGTACTTATAGCGTCAAAGAGAAAGGTTCGCTTCTGGGTCGCACGACCCGAAACGCAGCGAGAGGGTTAAGAACGCGGGTCGGCGATTCCGTTTCTGACAGAACGACGTGTCCGGCCGAGAGCGTGCGATGTAGTGGCATGCGGGTCGAGAAAGAAGAAAGGAGAATTGCGCAATGTAGAACAATATATAATCGAAAGATCGTCTCACCTTGTAATTCGAATCGTCCGCACTTTATCCAATATGGTATCCAAAGGGAACAACAAAATTCGGCGAACGCGATATTTTCCGTTAAGACTCTCTTGAGGAGTCACGCAGCATCTTCGCGAGCCGACGACCCGAAATCCCGTGATAGCGGCGGCGAGGACGACGACGGTGCATACACGTGACGTACATTGATATACCGTAGCGTGGATCACTACCGAGAAATAGATCACGGCACGTCGTGGTGGAACGCAGACGAAACGGTTGAACCGGGAACAAAACGAGGAGACGGTACGGGTCGGCCGCGGGAGGACGGCCCGCGACAAAAACCGGAACAATATCGGTGGCCCAGCACTGGATCACTTCACACCGGCGTGCACGTCCACATCATAGTCGCGGCACGTGAAAGCTGGATCGTCGCGAAGCGGATATTTCGGGGAGGGAACAACACGGCCCGGAATCCGATCGATCGCGCGCGAATCGATGAAAATCGCTGGCTGTTGTTCGGCTGGCCGCGACGATGATCACAGAGGAACGGACATTCTGTCTCGCGTATATCGCGCGCACACACGTGATCGCCGAGAGATGTGTCTCGACACCTGATTTACTGTTTCGCAACGGCTCCGATCCAGGGATGAAGGAGAAAGGTGCCGCGGGAATTACGGGCACGATCGCAGGCGACAACGGCAACGAGAACGACGATGACGGCGACGTCGACGACGATGGAGAACTTTTTTCCAACGGGGTCTGCTCCGTTGGCTGCCCAGGGTCAACCGGCTGGCTCCGTGCGCGGCACTTTTACCCGTTGGGTACTCTCAAGGACTCGGAGGTGGCTCCTATTCCTTTCTCTTATCCTTTCGCGCGCGCGCCTTTTTTATCCCGCTAACCTTTTTAAGCGCACTTTTAATTCCGCTCGGCCGCGTGTCTCCGTGCTGCGCTCGCAAGCTCTCGCCGCGATCTTATTGCGGAGGCCCCGGGAGGAGACGCCGAGGACGAAACCGATCAGAAAGCGATCCGCGCACAGCTGCGGGAGCCTTCGAAAAACGCTTGTCGACGGAGCCGATGAAGAAAACAAGTGGATCCAGCCACATCCGGATCGTCTTTCAAACTCGTCCTCCGACACCGACGTCCGGCGTACCGAGCACTCCGCGCATTTCCTCTTTTCTCCTCCTCGGCTGCGACTTCTTTCACGACACCGCCGCTGTCCACTCGATGTTCACCCTCGGGACGATCCGGAGCTCGTGCTCGAACACCGTATCTCCACCGTGTATCGTTCGCCCGTGCGATTTCCTGCGGCGCGGGATCACCGTGGCTCGCTCTCTCCCTCTCTTTCCTTCTCCTCTTTCTCCTTTTCCTTTTGCTTATCTTTCCCGTTCCCTTCCTCTTTCTCTTTCTCCCGCGACCGCGCTTCTCTTCTTCCGTCTGTCGCCTCTCCCTTTCTCTGCCTCCTTTCTCTTCGGGTTTTGTAATCCGTTTTACGAAACCGCCGTGTAGCCCGGCTCGCGAGACACGAACCAAGTCGAGATCGAAATCGAAAGCGAAATGGAAATACTCTGTTCGTCGTCGATGATGATGATGATGATAATGATAATGATGATGATGATGATGATGATGATGATGATGATCGAGGACTCTCTCTCTCCGGTTCTCCTTTCCGTCCCGGAAGCGGGTTACCGGTGCGATACGAGCGACGACGACGACCTTGGATAGGTGCGCGTTTCGTGGCGCGCGATGCGAACAGAGCGAAACAGGATCGCTCTGGGCACGCTCGCTTTCTTCCTCCGAAGGTGTTATCCAACCGGACGCGAAGACAGGGCCGACGACGCTTCTTTCACTTGTTTTATTCCCCGCGACAGACCGCGCACACACACTCTCTCGGAACCCCGGGCACAAATTTCATGGGACTAGAAACAGTCGTTGCACAATTCCACATCGATCGAACTCCAATGTTCGAGTNCTGCGGCGCGGGATCACCGTGGCTCGCTCTCTCCCTCTCTTTCCTTCTCCTCTTTCTCCTTTTCCTTTTGCTTATCTTTCCCGTTCCCTTCCTCTTTCTCTTTCTCCCGCGACCGCGCTTCTCTTCTTCCGTCTGTCGCCTCTCCCTTTCTCTGCCTCCTTTCTCTTCGGGTTTTGTAATCCGTTTTACGAAACCGCCGTGTAGCCCGGCTCGCGAGACACGAACCAAGTCGAGATCGAAATCGAAAGCGAAATGGAAATACTCTGTTCGTCGTCGATGATGATGATGATGATAATGATAATGATGATGATGATGATGATGATGATGATGATGATCGAGGACTCTCTCTCTCCGGTTCTCCTTTCCGTCCCGGAAGCGGGTTACCGGTGCGATACGAGCGACGACGACGACCTTGGATAGGTGCGCGTTTCGTGGCGCGCGATGCGAACAGAGCGAAACAGGATCGCTCTGGGCACGCTCGCTTTCTTCCTCCGAAGGTGTTATCCAACCGGACGCGAAGACAGGGCCGACGACGCTTCTTTCACTTGTTTTATTCCCCGCGACAGACCGCGCACACACACTCTCTCGGAACCCCGGGCACAAATTTCATGGGACTAGAAACAGTCGTTGCACAATTCCACATCGATCGAACTCCAATGTTCGAGTTCCCCGCGCGAGTCACAGTCGCCGCGCGCCGTTTCCGCGGGAACGTTGCGATCGACAACTCTCGGTTACGAGACACCGTCTCGACGAGAGAAACAGCTTCGAAGGTGGAACCAAATCCGAAAGCAGCCGGGAGAAAGAGAAAGAGAGCGACAGGGAGACAGAGACAGACACAGAGAGAGAGAGAGAGAGAGAGTGAGAGAGAGGAGAGAGAGAAGAGAGAGAGAGAGAGAAAGAGTAAAAGAGAGGGAGGGAGGGAGAGAGAGAGAGGCGGGAATATTCGGCTGTGTCCAGTCTACGAGACAGGATCGGATTTTAGCGCGCTCCGCACGCGCTCCCGCGAGCCCTAGTCGGCGGTTTCAACTTTTACTTTCAGCTCTTACACAACGCGGCCCGCCGCTCTTGCCTGGTACGTAAGCGGTAACCGAGTGCTCGCGAGCCTCGCTCTTCGTTTCGAAGCTTCTTCTTTTTCTCGTTCCTCCCTTTCCTTCTTCGGCTCCTTTCTCTTCCCTTCTGTCGATCCGCGATGCTCTCCGCCGCGCTCCGCGCCGCTCCGATCCGATCCGATCCGAACCGATCCGATCCTATCCAATCCGATGACAAAACTCTCGGTGGCAGTCGGCCACGAAAATTTCCCCTTTCGAAAGTGAAACCGTGTCGGCGGTCGTGGTTCCCTCCGCGTCAACTGTTCCAACTGGCCAGGCTCTTCCGGAGCCGCGACGAGAGGTCCTTCTTCCGCGCACCCGACCGGGCCTGTCCAAAGAGCACGTGCATCGACGAAAGCACGTGCGGATGAGCACGTGTCCGCTGTTTTCGTCCGGCGGAACAGCAGCAGCGCTCTCGGTCCACCGCCGACAACCACCCCGGCAGGCGTTGTTATCCTTCTCCCCGGTTATTCGGTCGGTTTTCGGCGTTCGCACGGCGAACGAACGAACCTCCGCTCGGCTCCCGATCCTGGCGAACGGGCCCGACGATCCGCTGCGGTAACCCGGAAGAAGAAACGGCACCGTGACCACGTGACTTCTCGACCAAGTGCCGCGCGGCGTACGACAGCGGCGACGCGCTGACAACGCGCGGTCACGAAAAAACGAGGTTGACAGCGTTGCGTGTGCCGGTTTCGTTGATATTTCGCCGCACTCTACACACGTACACGTACGCGCCGCGCACCCTTCTAATGCACACACCGGGCCGCGCACTCGATCAAAACGATATATGTTTTTCGCGCGTCGTGGCCTCTCTTTCTCACTTCGCCGGAGGACTTCTTCAGGGAGAGAGGGTCTCTTCCGGTCTCCGCGGTGTGTCTCACTGCTCCTCGCTCCGTCGTAACTTTTGCGCAAAGCCGAGACCCTCTCTTACTCTTTACTTCTCTCTCTTTTCCTCCCTCTCTCTTTCTCTCCGTCTCTGCTGCTCTCTTTCTTTTCCTCTCTATCTTTCTCTCTCTCTCTTTGTCTCTCTCTCTATCCGACTATCTCTATCCCACTCTCTCTCTCTCGCTCGCTCTCTATCCGACTCTCTCGCTCACGCTCTCTCTCTCTCCCTCTCTTTCTCTCTCGCTCGCTCGCTCTCTCTACGCCTATCCCTCTCTCCCTTTTGCTCTCCCGCCGACTCTATCTCCCTCTCGGTCTCTTTCTCTGTCTGGTCCTAGGTAAACGCGGAGAGAGGTAGACTGGGCAGTCAGTAAGAGATGGTGGTGGAGGTGGTGACGATGGTGGTGGCTGATGCGATTCGATGGTAGTGGTGGTACACGAACGCCGCTCGAAATGTCTACACACCATCTACCGATCGGAGCGTAGGCACGGTGCGACCGACGATGGTGGTAGTGACTCCGCGGCGGTGGTGATGGTGACGGTGACGACGACGACGACGACGACGCAACGACGACGATGGTGGTGCTGCTAGTGGTGGTGGTGGTGGTGGTAGTAGCGGTGGTGGTGGTGGTAGCAGCGGCTCCGGTGGTGGTGGTAGAGAAGAGGCCAGGTGGGCCCTGTGGCTTACAGGCAAGCCCAGAAAGGGTTGAGGGTCCGAAAAGCACGGTTGTCTCTCTCACGAGAACTCCCGGCGTAATACTCACGATAGAGAGGAGGCCTCGCGAGTCTTGTGAGTTTCGTTTGTAAAGGACCGTAGTATTGGTTCTTCGTCGAGTGCCACCTAGTTCTCTCTCTCTCTCTCTCTCTCTTTCTCTCTTACTCTCTCTCTCTCTCTCACTCTCTCCTCCCTCGTCCCTCCTGCGCTTACTCTTCCCTCCCACCATCGCCCTTCCACCTACCATCTACCACCTACCACCTACCACCTTCCTCCACTCTCCCTTTCCCCACTGGTGCTCTCACTATTACATTACAAATAGCTCTCTTGCCTAGGCCTCGTTTGCGAGGTGTTGCTCCTTCCGTGTACATTCATAGAAGTCGGCGGGCGCGTCTGCGTGTGCGCGCGTGCCTCGATTCACAGTCTAGCTCGTCTATCGGCGTGCCGCGCGCGAGTGTGCGTGCGCGTGTGCGCGCGGCTCTCCGGTGCACATGCACGAGCCGTCGCGCGACAGCGTTACACACGGTATATAGCCTCTGTCTTCTTTCTTCGTTGCCCTTCCCTTCTGGCCGTCTTCTCCGTCTCCCTCTCGCGCTATTGGCTCCCCCCAGCCGTCTCCCGCTTTTCTCCCTCCTTTTCTCTCCGTGTCCCACCTCCCTCCGTCGCCTTTTCTTTCTCGTTTCTGTATCTAGCAGTATGCATAAGTCTTTCACGGGTCTAGTGTGCGCGCGTACCACGCACACGCGAAAATCCCAACGGTTCTCTCTCATAGGCTAAGCATAATCGGGCGTCCTCGTCGGCCGAACAGGGCCGCACAGAAGCGCCTCTCTGTCACGGTAATGGTGTAATACAAGACTCGGTTTGTACCCGTGCACGTAATACGTAAGAATGAGGCAAGAGTTCCCCCGGCTCTTTCTCTTCCTCCCTCTTTCTCTCGCCGAGATCTTTCTCCGTCTTTCCTACTCTCTTTCTTCCTCTTTCACCCGGCGACCCTACCCCCGTGGCCCTACGTTTCCGTTCTCTACGGCCCGCGTCCTCCCGTGTGAATCTCCATTCCCTTTTCTTCCTCTGTTTCGCCGGAGCGACGCCTGTAATTTCCATCCCGTTTCCCCACGGCCCGGTCCGTCCTCCTTCGTCCACACGACGGAAACTCTATCTTTCACTTTTCTCATCCCTCCGTCACTCCCACTCTTTCCGCTGTTTCTGCTTTTCTCGCTCCGCCTCGACTCCCTTTGCGCTCCAAACGAACGCGCTTGCGCGTCTCTTCAGTGTCCCGCGAACCGAGGAGATGGAACGTTACGTTTCCACCGCCTCCGCTTCATCTTCTTCTTCTTCTACTTCTTCACCTTCTGTTGCTGCTGCTGCTGCTGTTTTCTTCCCTTTCCTCGTCGCCCTTCCTCTTTCTTGTCGCTCCTTTCGTTCTTTCTTTCTTGTTCGCCTGTTTCCTTTTGTTCCTCCGGTTTGTCCGTCGAAGCGGCCCTCCGCGAGCTGCCCGTTGTCGCCTCTTTCGCCGACCTTCTTCAAACCCGTTCATCCTTTCCCGCCGCCCGTCACTCCCACGTGCTTTCTTTCCGGTGAAAACGCCCGGCCCAATCGGCACGCGCGCGCGCCAATACGCGCACGTCTCTGTCGTGTAGACACGCGAGCATAGACACGCGCACACGTACGCCAGAGTGCCAAAGCCTCTCGATACAGTTCTTTTTCATACCGAGGAATTATAATGTCGTTGCTCCAGTTATGCATCGGACACGCTCTCAGCCGTGATCGATAGTGAAATGCTTGAATGACTCGCTGGTAAACACCTTCGCGGCTTCAGGTTTCCTCCGTGTTTATTTTAATTACGGGTTTAGCTCGTGACGCAAACATCTTTAACAACTCTTATCATCGGTTTAGCGGCGGAGCGGCGGGAACGGGCGTAGCTGGTCGGATTCCGCGCGGCGGGCGAACAATATTCGAATTCGAGGCTGCTTCCCGCCTTTTTCTTGTATTTAAAATGGCGCGCGCGCGAGCACGGGCTAGAATTATATCCGAGGCACGCCGTCGATCTTGCCGACGTTGCTAAAGCGAATATTAAGTCGGATAAAATTAGCGGGTCGCTTGACCGTGCACGCGGTTTTTTTTCACACCGTTTAGGGGGCTCTTTTAAATCCGTGTACTACTCTACGGAGAGTCCGGCCGCGAACGCTTGTGCTTTCGAATGAAATTACGGCGCTGGTTTTTCCTCGTACCGACGTTCCTAGTTGATAGCAGCATGTATACACGAAGCAGCAATCATTGGAAGACTCTAAATTAACTCTACTAGCAT